GTCTTGTGAATCTCAGTGATACTGAAAACCGTTACATAACCTCTAGCTTTTACACAGTTTACTAAGCTTTTCGTATGAGAACAGACACAGTTTTCTCTCAGATTCTTAGGAATAAGCTCCTTTTTTTTGTGGTATTAAACATTCAACAAACAAACAACCTAGAGGCCAACAAATCTTTTAGAAGTACCTGAATCTGCTCTTCTGCCCTGTTAAAAAGGCAGCAACCACTCAGAAGTATATTTTTCTTATTTTCTTTGAGAATCTCACAGGAGTTCCCTGAATAAAACTAATAATCAATGTGTGAGGTGCTTTCTATATAACCCCATGCACCTCCAAGACAGTTTAGGTTGAACTTCCCAAAATTCTACTTTGCAATTCAATATGCACTTCTGAAAAAGCTCATCTTCCATTTCTAGTCCTCTGTGATGTACAAAGGTGCAAAAGTTGTCTTGTAAAATTCAAAGCTGTTTTCAGTGCACCTGTCTCAAACAGACACTTCTGACTTCATTTTAAATTCAGTGAAATGATTGCTGTAGCAATCAGGAAAATGTACATATGGTTTTGTTTGGGGCTTTTTTGTTGTGTTTTTTAAAACCAGGAACTTTCAAGCATAGGTATTCAAGGAAACAGGAACTGTTATGAATTGAGGGTTTTCTGCATGGAGTTACATTAGTTACATTCTCCAATATTTATAATAATAACTTTGCATACTCATTTCATTATTTGATCATGAAGAATGCACCATGAAGGATACATCAGATTATAGTAGCCTCTCCTTTCAGGGTCGCAGGGGACAAAGGTTGTGTTCCTTCCAGTCAAACCCAACAGTGATGGGTTCTACGTCTAAGCTGCTGCCGAAATTATTCTTCAGGAATCACTATCAGAGTTAACGTCTCTATGGAAGCTGCCTCAAGACAGATTTTAAACAAAGAAATCTAGATCTGTTGTCCAGCAAATGGTCTGCAGCTGTGACCAGCAACTGCTTTCTTCAGCTGACTCTCCTCTCTTCCTCTCTGCAAGGCGTACCAGGCTTTTAAGTACTCTACTGGAGTAAGAAAAGGGGAAGACTTCATACCATGATATCTCCCTTCCTCCATTTATGTCCGGAGTAAATACAAAGCAATCCACCTACAAGTCTTTGGGATGAGTAACTTTAGTCATTCTTCAACCTTTGAGGAAGAGTTCTATGGTTACAATCTTACCTATGGAAGAATCAACGAATTTGCCCCCTAGTGATTTTCAGTAGCACAGCAACACAGTGCACCATAATCTGTTTAATAACAGTTGCCAAAGTATGAAGCACGGAACAAAGTCAGGAATGACAACAATCTCTTCTCCCAGCCTCCAAGGTGTTTGTTTTTCCAAGTTTAGCTACTGTGTAACTGCAGCTTTTGCTTGAGGTTGCCTTCTCAAGTAAGTAATAAGTTTTGAAAACTTGGGAATATGAGTTTTACCCTGACTTCAGCCACTTAAAACACATAAAAATCCATAACCTGGATTGACACCACCATGATACAGTCTGATAATTAATGTTGTCAAGGGTGTTTTGGACGCTTAAATGCAAATGTCTAAAGCTTCCTCTCGAGCCTCCTAAATGTGCCAAATTTCATTACCTCTATTTTAGCATACAGTAAATAACCTTCCATCTCTAAGTATGTTTTCATGTTGGACTTATAAAACACGGTAGGGGAAACGAAAGTAGCACACATGATGTGCCAGAAGAGCGTTTAACCTATTGTTAAATGCCAGTAGCATATTAAAGTTGACCTCAGAAGAATTTTTATCTGTTAGTCATAGGTACATAAAAACCCATCTAGTAAAAGGAATACAGGCATTGTTAAATTGTTTTGTGGTTTTTTGGAAAGTTATCTTAAGGGGGTTCTGATAAAATAAGCCACGTAGTCAATAAACATAGTGTAAGTGCCAATACACATGATGGTGAAATATATTCTTATAATTTTATACTTGCTTTCAAGTGGATATTAAAATTTTGGAATTGCCCCACCAGATCAAATCATTTCCCAAAAATAGATCTGGTACAACATTGACAGGGAAAGCCATATGCAATACATGAATGCACAGGTGGGGCCAAAGGCAAGTCCCATTAAAACCTCAAAATCTAAACAAAAAAGGGGAGCTTAAATACTGCCTTGAGGGCAATATCTTATAAAAATTAATACAGATTATTTTATTTCTGTAGATCTCAAATCCTCTTCAGACCCATGCTAAACTTCTGACCTTCATGATATCCTGGTACAAACCATTCCACTGGTTCCAAAGAACACCAAATGTTAATTTTTACCTAATTTTAAATCTCTTCTGTTATTGTTATTGTTATTGTTGTTGCTTAATATCTGAACGTTTTTGTCTTATGTTCTGGGAAATTATAAATGACAACAACTATCTAAAAGTCTCTATAACCATTGTAAAGCCTCACTCATATAACTCCTTATTCTCTTAAGAATCATTTTTCCTAAATCTCTTCAGTCATTCCTTCTTCATGATTAACAATTATTTGATGGTCATTTTAGGAGTTCTTTGTTATCAAATTATTTTTACACTGAATCTCTTATTAAAAAAAAAAGTTTTTATGAAAGATCATGACAAAAATCAAACAAAACACACTTATGTAAGATTATGATTGGTAGAGGTGATGGTGTCCATTTCAAAAGAAGTCTAAACTTTCCAGAAAACTGAATTTTGCAATGACTGAAACTACTTACATTTTGAAATTAAATCTGCTGATCATTGTCTTTGTAAAGAAGTGAGCAAATACTGACCTATGAAAGCATTTAATTTCTAAAATGAAGAAATGTAACTTGTCATTTTGGAAATTACAAAATGCTTCCTTTAAAAATTTTCTGAATTAAACACTTCACCTGTACTTCTGTAAAACACATATTTTGGAATAGACATCATTTAGGAAAATAAATGTTTTAAATTTTTTAACTAGCCTGTAATACATTTATATATACACATATACATTTTACTTTGTTCTCACTAAAAAATAGTTACTTCCCCTCCAATTTTGCTGGGGAAAAAGGTAAATGTTGGTTACATCTAACCCCAAGAGTCCATTATTCACTTATGACTCCATCAAGGTAGGTCTCAGTATCACCAACACTACCTCCTACCTGAACTACATAGCGTATTGACCAAGTAATTAATTAATGACTCTGAAGGACACAAATGTCAGAAAACATTTAAAAATTATCCACTTGAAGCACTGCTCATCAGCCTAACTCTGGAAACCTTTCAGTGCAGCACTAGTATGGGGGATATATGTCCATACATCCAGACATACTGTACATTAAGATTTTTGTTACAATTTTTAAAGGCTGTGTGTTAAAGGCTTCCTAGAACCTGCTCTTTTGCTACCAGACAAGTTTATTCTCAATTAACAGAGCTGTCAGATGGAATTAAATAATGCTAAAAAGCTTTCCTGCAGAGACTTAACAGCAATAAAGCAATATACATTTAAAAGGGAACAAAAAAGGTCCTTAGAGTACAGTATAAAGGACTGAAGATGTGCTGAGTCTTTGATCATTGGCATTATCAATTAGCACTATTCTGATCAAACCCTGTGGTATTTACCCTGTAGGAGTCCTGATAACTGCACGTCCTGCAGATGGGATGATATCTCCAGTCAGCATCTTAAATGTTGTGCTTTTCCCAGCTCCATTTGTTCCCAGGAGTCCAAAACACTAACAGAGATCAAAAAAAAAAAAAAAAAAAGAGCAAAAGCAAAAGCAATCTGTTATACTGAAAGAAATAAGTAATATTAATTCTTCAACAGTTTCTCCCCTTTTCATATTTCCTATCATATGTCTGTAAGATACTGCATGTGGATATACTGTATGTGCAAATTCCCTTTCCCATGGAAAATAAGTTTTCAAAACAAAAAAAAAAAAAAAAGATTTTTTTTTTTTTATTAAACCTAATTCCTAAAAGTTACTTGTTTAGGATTCTAGCCCTCCACTTAAAACCCTGCCCAGTAACTAAATGCATTATTTATCCATATTATTAGCAAATGCTAAATTTGGACCTGAGGACCTCATGTCCTATTTAAGAGCCCTGACTACCAGTCTATAGAGTCGATATTTCTTTTTCTCATGGGCTGCTCCACTCTGTACAAGTAAATGAACACCAAACAGCCAAGACAGACACTGCCTCTGACATTATTTCAGGCCCCTAGCTGCAATGAATATATGCTTAAGTTAGGACAGGATTCGTATTAAGTCTACATATACCACTTCATAACTTCTAAAATACTTGTTTCATCAACATTCTTATTGATAAATAGGCTTTAATCAGCAATGACATCCCCCTGATTACCCGTTACTCAACAACTGGCAGGACATCACTGGACCTGCTTTACCATGCACTAGTTTCTGATATCTTCCAATTTGCTATCAGCAACCAAGAAAAGTCTTTTCTTTATCAATATTTTTGAAATTAATATCTGCAATTCCCAAAAGCATCAAAATCATGAAAACAAACAAACAAACAAAAAATGCTGTTCTGAAATCTCTAGCACTACCATATTCAGTGCTAAATTTCAGTTTATTAAAATAGAGTATTAGTATATTATATGCTATATTAGAATATACTGTAATGATTTCAGCATGTGGACAAGTTTGCCTTGGTGACAAATTCAGGATTCAGTCCAAAGTTTGCAATGGAGCTAGGTATTCTTTGCTTTCTCTTCAGATATTGAACTGCTAGGCTACCTACTTGTTTCTTTATGTTAGCCTATAAAACAATAACTTGGTAAAGATAAGCAAGAAGAAAACATTAAGACTGATGAATTTGTAACCCAAAAAATAAGTGCACAGTTGCTTCTTACACACCACCAGAGCTTCTGTTTTCATCCGGTTATTGATTTTCAGAAATTACAACTGAAAATTGCTCTGCTGCTCCCTACAGGTCTTTGATTGTAGATATCCTGAGTATGTCAGAACAATTAATTAATGAGAATGAAGTGTTATTTTCTGAAAGGAAAAACAAAAGACCTCTTTACCTCTCCCCTTGGTATTCCCAAGCTTATGCTTTCCACAGCTGTATTCTTCTTACTGAAACCTCCATAACACTTCCTGAGGTTGTACAGAAGGAGGACATCATTACCAGTTCTTCCACCAAAGAGTCGCTGTCGCTCCATTTCTACATCAACATCTTCTGAAGAGCTGACCATGCTGTTAATTGAACACTGTCCCCTAAAACAGAAGTTAATAACAAATGACACATGGCAAATTGTACATTGCTGTACTCTGAATAACTCTGTTTTACTTCTCTGGTTGCAATCCCGTAAAGCTTGGTGTTCAAATCTCAGCAGAATCCAAAGGAAACAGCAACTATTTGTATTTTTTCTGCAGTTTTCACTAATTCAAATACACCATGCTATCAGAAGTATTTATCATCAGGTGTTCAAAGGAATCCACCATTTTCTTTCTTTAAAAATTAGTTCAGTGTCCACTGTGGAAGAATATAAATGTAACACACCTTGGTTTCTGGAGGAGGTCCCAATGAAGAAAAAGCCGTAAAAGAAGAAGTAGTGTTCCCTGCAGAGCCATTTCCACAAAAATCCAGCCCAGGAAATTCATCTCAAAGGGGCTCACATATGAATCTATTCCAAAGTTGCTGGTCAGGTCAAACTTGATCTGATTGTAGGAAAGTTCTATTAAACCCTGGCCTAAGCAGAATTGTGGGAATACAATGAATACCCATTTGAGGATGTTGTAGATATTCTGAAAACTCTGTATGAAGATTGAGAAAGGGGGAGGGGGGAGAAAAAAACAAAGAAAAACATTAGCTTTCTCCAACAACATATTAAGCACACTTATAAAACTGGATACAGTGTTCAGATCTCCCTCAAGGTGAACTGATTTCAGAAGAGTATATTGTGAACTATTTTGGGGCAGGGTTCATCTCTCATTGTATTTTAGAGTGCCTAGGGCCACGGAATTCTAATTTTCGCTGAGGTTCACAGAGAGGAACAAAACAGATGTGGCCATGATCTTTCTATTTTCTTAAAATTTTAGTATTTTAATGCTATTAATTCTAAATTAGCAACTAAAACCCAAGTCAATGCCAAACCTGCCTCCAAACTTGAGTGACTTGTAATCCAGATTTGATTTCATACATGAAGTTTTCGACCTGGTACATGCATAGATATTCAGATATTCATACACATTCTGGATCTCCTCTCCATCATGCTGCTTAATTACCATTATGACTAATGAAAATTACATACATGGAGTGAGAATGCATATTACTATTCATACAGTGCATTACAGATCCTAGGAATCTGTGGCTTATCTCTTATGTCAATATTATTTAAACACATTTTACAATGCGTATAATCTATTCAATGGACCAGAACAGCTCCCATTATGTGCCAATTACAACTTAATGGTCTGGAAAATGTCAAGGTTTCAATTAACACTGTTTTTCCATTATTACAGCATAATTTTTTAAATTTTTTTTGTTATGAACAAGTTAAAATTCAAGATGGTAACAAGCAATACAGTATACACTAGAGCAGAAAATCATGAATGTTTAAAACACAAGTTTTTCCTTTTGGAAAAAATCCTGTCCATGCGTACGTATAAAGACTATATATATGTATACACAAATAGATACACACATGCACGGGTGTGCATACATCTCATTTATGAGTAACATAAAGCAAAGGTTTTATACTGACCTGCACTTTGGAAATTATAGCTAACAAACGAGGTAAGAGAGTCACCAGCATGGTACACAGGCCAAACACAAAATTTAAGGAGATGTAAGAAATAAAAGCTACATCTGGACTTGAGAAGAATCTGGATACAAGGTACATCCATGGTAAAGTGGCATATCTGAAAGTTTAAAGAAACAAAATTATCACAAATAAGTTATGTTGTGGCCTCACCAAAAAAAAAAAAAAAAAAAAAAAAAGCAGTTATCATACTAGAAAAACACATAATAGTTACTCCTTATTTTTAAGATAAGCAAAAAACTCTTTTGACCAAATGACAAAAAAGGACAACTATGGGATATATTTTCTTTGTCAAATTACCTTATGATTCTGTAGATGTGTACATAGTTACAGCCATGTGATGGGCAGATAAGACCCATTTTTTGCATATATCAACTGCATATATTTACTTTCACTGTTCCAGGAAGCTCACAACCCTTATCTCTGAATGAATGAAAAACCACGCATCTTAACAAGCCTCTAACAAAGAGATAGAATTAAAACCAAATAGCTGTAGCTTAAATCATGGATGCTGAGCAATCAGCTTTTATTAGAGTCTTTCATAGAAAGAAAAAAGAATCAAAAAGGAAGGAGAGACGGAGCAAAGCAAGAAAAAAAGAAAGAACGAAAAAAGAAAACAAAAAAAAAATGCCCTAATCCTTGAACTGGGACTAAAATTTGTGCCAGTGATATCTAAAAAATGAAATTTGCCAGAGATCATGTTAGTATTGTTATTAGCTAAACCAGGTTATCAGTTGGTAGAGTAGTAGGCATCAAAAATCAGTGCATAGTTACTTCACAGCACAATGATGATAAGACAACGTGTCTGTGGCTACGTCATTTTCAATGCAAATCTTTAAAGGTGAAGAGAAGGCAGTGTCCATTCTGGGAAGTGAAATGACACTTATCCAAAATGGAGCAGTCATATTTTTTAAAGAGTAAGATATCTTTAGCCAGACTAATAAAATGTCCAGGCAATTTGATGAGTATGAATGTCATGTAAAGGAAATTTATTTTCCATTCAGCATAGCACAAGACATAACTATCAAACAAACAGTATATAGACTGTAGGAGCAGAGGTATCAGCATACACCATTGCATGATGATAAGTATGTATGTGGTGTGTATATATAGAGAGTTGTATATATAAATTCTTCTTATATGGTATTAATAGATATATGTTTTAATAGTGAGCTCAATGCAAGAGAACTAGCCAAAAATCTGTGAATTCACTTCTTCATTGCATTAAATAGTAGTTTAGATTATAAGCCCTAAAAGTCTCTTAAATTCAGTATTATGTACTTTACAAATGAACTTTTTTCACCTAAGAATGCCAAAATCCTTTACCTTAAGAAAGAAACTTTAAAATCCTGTGCTGAAGTAATAGCGGTGTTATTCTCAGCTTACAGGAAGATAAAGGTTAAATGACTCAATGCTTGGGTCTCAAATAAAGATTTTAAGTATTCAAGATCACCCTATACTTTTCAGGATCCTGCTGCCAGTCTTAACCACAAAATCTCTTCTTCCTTTCAGGCACAGACCAAAATCACTGTTCTAAGTTTTGGTCTAAATTACAATACCATAAATACAAGACAAGTCCATCCTTGGAAACAGCTCAGGAAAGAGATATGATATAGAGTCCTGTTTGCTGTAAATGAAAGCAAAATTTGATTTGTTTGCTTACAGCTGCTAAGAAATGAGTAAGACTTTCGGAATACTAACGTTGTATGTTCAAACACAGGCTTTAAAGTAACTGCCAGTTATGCCTACATTTCTATCCTAACTCTTTCTTTTCCTTTGGCTTCAGCTGTAATTTGTTAATTTGTAAGTATTAAAGACAGAGCATTTTGGAAAAAAGTACTTAAGCTGTTGCATTATAAAACACTTCTGCTATCAGCTAAAAGAGGAAAAAACTGTAGTTTAGTTAAAAGACCATTATATTTTTAAAGGAAATCAGTTTTAAAGTAGCACGCTAGGAAATGGTTGATTATTCTTTCAAGCACACCCCCTTCTAGCACATGGCTTAACTTTTCATATAACTGGGATATTTTTATCTTTATTCTAGAATTGAAATGCTGCACAAGTGTACCCTGAAGAGAAAAATAAAATTTTAAAAGGAAAAAATGCATTTTAGAATGCAGATAAATAAGAATTACAGGCACAGTACAGGGGAAGGATAAAATGACCATAATAGGCTTCATCATATTTACTGTGTAGTTGGGCTGAGTAAAAGGTAGAGTAGGAAGAATAGAAACTCTGAAATTTATCAGTGGCCTTGAGACATGTTAAACTTACTGACTGACAGTTATTGTTTCTTTAATGCATGTTAATACACATTGAATAGACAGACCTTCTTGTTAAAAATCACTGTAATATTTGCTATGTCAGCCAAAGCTGAACAGTCCTGCTTGCTTCTTCTGAAATATCCAAAATTTAACTCAACATTTTGGTTAAAACAATGCCAGCATAACTCTTAGCACCTGGGATTTAGTAGTACACTGTGGGCAGGACCAAAGCCTATAGCACACCACAGAACACGTCATGACTTCAACAGACGTACAAGTATGTACTGTATGGGTCATTTGCTGCTTGACTAAGATCTCTGTAGATGGCTATTCTTACACTAGGGTTGCAGCAACTGAACTACAAAAAGGACTCAACGGTTGTAAAGTTAATGGGAAAAAAAAAAACCTAAACAGGGATGAGATTTAGTAGCATAAAGTCTTTGCACTAAGACTGATAAGAATTTCTGCCTCTAACTCGACATGGTCAATTGGTAGAAGTGCAAAAGGAAGGAGGAGGAAGACAAGAGCGATACAGAGAAAAGTGTGAACTTTGGATGTTTCATCCAAGTTATTTACAAGATCCTGGCATCATGACCTCTAGTATATTACATACTAGTCTGGCCACTCATGTCCATGAAAGATGAGCTCAAACCAGGCTTATAGACGAAAATGATCACTAGAATTACCCAGGGAAAGGGAAGGCCTTTTTACAAGAGAGGACTTGGCTTGTTTGGGCTTGTGAAAAATGTTTGATGAAGGACAATTAAGAGGTATGTCTCCAAATAAACTTAGGCTGGAATTTCTAAGAATACATCCAGCTATGGAGATACTGAAACAGTTTACCAAAAAAGGAGTTGCTGGACGCATGACATCTTGAAAATGGTTTCAAGATGAGATAGGGTAATTATTTTTTTAAGTGTTTATCTGAGACTCTTCCTGGAATGGAACATGTCCTGATCTTGCAGCAAGTCCTTTCTACTTTCCTTCCCTGTGATTCTTTCATGGAGCAGTTATATTTCATTATCTAAACATCTGTCTCATAAGATACGCATTCGGCCCTACAAAGATAGCAACAATTATTTGCTTGAGAAGAAGAAACTTCTCAGAATGCTTATGTCACCATGTGCTCCCCCCTTACCCTCAACCTGATCTTTATCTCCCATAACCCTGTCCAAGCAATAACCACCTGTGGTGGTCATAACGGGCGCATCTGGTCATGATGGCTCAAAGTAGATTCGGGGGAGACAGATAACAATACAATAATCAAGGGTTAACTCGATCGATGTGCCCACCTAATCACAGTACTGATATTGTGGCCGATACACAAATAAGATTATAAGTCAAACACCTTTCCTCTATAAATAGTGAACAGGCCAAGAGCCCTTTGAGCTCTCCTGTAGGGCAGCGGGCTGCACACCGCCATGTCCCCTCGGGTAGGGATGTCGCTCAAGTTTATTCCTTGAGGTTGAGAGATTCCTTGCTGCAACAGATACTCAGTAAGTGACTAATAGTTTGATAAACTTTGATGCTTCACTAAGATGATATATTGGATTCATTGTGCACATATAATCTTTTAGCCATAAACCGGTGACCACGTCTGGGACTAGGATTGGATCCAGCCACACCTAGACTCCTCTCTGAGACAGACTTTAGAAAGCAAGGGAGTCCTCTTTGAACATCGTGACTCAACAGGAGGGTCTCCCTGACAGTTTTTTACCAAGTGTACCTTGCCATCGAATCTTGTTAAACCACTGTTGCACTTACTATCAAATTCTGTTAAATCACTGTTTTATACCAACAAATATATTGCTGCTTTTCTCTTGTGAGTGAAGTGCATCACTCCATTTGTGACAGCTTATGCTGTAACTACTCATCTTCAGCATTTCTCACATCACCTGGGACTGCACACAGGAAGAGTTAAAGGAACAGAATAGAAGACCATTAGTTTTACTGAGCCCAGGGCTCAAAAGCCCTATTTTTGCAGAGAAATCAATCCTCTGTCCATTTATTTTAACTTTTATAACTGTTCTTTCACGTGAAACTAAGCAAGAGGGTGATACAGGTGGACTTTCCACTCTTGCAGTACTATTTAGAGACAAATCTCCAACCATCCCAGTACTTATTATTGGACAGACTTCTCATTGGACATATAAATTCCTGGAACTATGTAAAATTACAGAATTACAGAAAACGGGTAAAACTGTAATAAAAAACAGCCACTACTTACCTTCTTGATGATATTCCATACAGCTAAGCACTAACAGTAGATGATTGTTATACAGGCTGAATATTTTCTGAGATCTTTCCAGTCTTTTTTTTTTTTTTTTTTTTTTAATGTGTGAACAAATCTCCCTCCACCTTCTGCATGGAACTTTCAAACTCATGTTTCAGCCTGTTTTCTCACTATCTTTTGGTGAATCATAATCATTTCCAAAGAGAGAAAATCATGCATCCAGCAGCAGGTGCAAACCAAGTCTAAAGATTTCTGTTTGTTTCTTAGAAGCTATAATTCCATAGTAGCATTTCCAATCACATACCCGAAGAGTATCAGCAGGAGAACAGTCGCTGCCAAGTTCTTTCGGAAAGTGAAGGCTGATAGCTGGAAGGCGCTAATAACACCAACACACAGGGTGACTGGAACCATGTAAAACAGCTAGAAACAGAAGAAAAAAGGCACTTAGCAGGTTAGCATCTCTTACTGGTCTTGCTTAATTAGCATAGAAGGGCTCTACAAATTAACTTTTCCATATTTGCAATATAATTACACTATAAATTAGGAAGAATTAGGCAGAAGAGCTCTGAGATTTCGTAGTCCACACTTGCTGTGAAACTGCCTCTCTTACACATATGCATGACAGAGGCAGACAAAATAAAATCTGACTACAGAATATTCCCCTTAATTCCATTTCTATTGACCTTTCCAATACATCCATTTAACAACCTAACTCTTCCAGATAATGAGTCCATATGGGACTATTGCTCCAAAACATCAAATTATATTATGAATACAGAGTCTTGGATTCAGAAATAGCAGTTTCACTGCTTGATGCTTCAGTAATAGGAGAATAGTGAGGATACAATTCTAAAAGAGACTTTAATGATGGACCATGAGTGCTGACAAAGAAAGTGACAACTTTTAATGGGAACAGACATAATGTTTAGAAGAGTTACAGCCATTAGGCAACAGGGAAATCAGTTTCTCTGTCTTGACATAATAGTAGCCAAAACTTAAGAGGGGTGCTGGGGTGGTGTGCTTGGTACAGGGGATTCATATCCAAGTATTCAAGGCAGATGGGTTCTGCTTGCAAATAGCAATGGCAAGATGTGAAAATCTGTGCTCAGTTCCTCTCAGTGTCTGCTTGCTCTATGCATTGAGGCTGAGCTCGTTAGGGCAGTGACTGCTTCCATTTCTACTTATATAATATTTAACCTTATCCTAATATAACTTAGATTCTGAGATGCAACTGCAACAGAGGCAAGAAATCATGGTCTAGCTAAATATTCAGTGTACTGAAGTACAATGCAAGCCTGTTCAAAATTAAGCCAGAGGGCATCACTTCCTTGCCAATGGGGAGACAGACATTTTCTAAGATAAGGGCAGTGGAGCAAAATGTAGATGGATGTAATGTTCTCATCTTGATCACAGTGTACCTTATTCAGCGCTATATGCAAATATCATACCACACCACTCCACAGATTTAGGTTTCAGTTATCCTGGAGCTGTTTAAAAAAATATGGCAGAGAAGTCACAAAGCATCTGAGTCCCAGTATGTTTCAACCGACCTGGGACTTTTTTCTAGAAATAAATAAATAACTTTAAACATTAAATTCTATTGGAGATCTTACTTGAAAGCATGGTGTGGTGGGCATGCACAAATAAAATAACCTTGAATTTGCCCCTCTAGTGACAGAAGCTTAATCTGAACAAAACCTCTCTATTTGTCATGAAATCTTCTTACCACTTACACATTTTCCATTTGTTGAACATAGCAAAGAATACCATTCACATGTATAAATACGGTAAGAACAGCCTGATTCTTATGACAGCAATTTCATAAATCAAATACTTCTGCAGGTCTAGTAAAGATTATGCTACCAATAATACAGGACACAGCCTGCGACACTTAAAATATGTAGAGGGATTTCAAATTTGACAGTTCATATATTCATGTGTTCAGTGTCCCTAAATGGTCTGCAGCACAATTAGCATTTAAAGCAGTGTCTGTTCTTTCCCAGATCATGATTGATCATGCAGTACTGTGCTGAATTTGTGAGAACATTTTGAAAGGAAGAGATTGGCAGAAAATAATGAGGATTTGACTTTGCTGCACAAGGAGAAACTGAACGATGAAGGACTGAGTTTTTAACCAAGCCCTCTTATCTGACACGACAGAAAAAGGAGCACGAAGATTGACTGGCCAAGTAAATAACGTTTGAAGAAATGTGCTCTTACTTCAAGCTTGCTCAAGTGTGAAAATCCTGATTTCAAGCATGGATGGGTGAAGCTCTAATGTTTCAGATTTAGAACAGTCTGAATGAGAATAGAGTATTCCAAAAATCTCTGTTCCTGACCATGCTAGTTCATGTTAGTGTTGCCGGTGCTAGATTCCAGCCCTTCCTTCCATGACCCACTGTGTTATGCATGGTGCGGAAAGTTTACGTCCTTTCTCTGGGGCCAGGAATCTTTGAAATTTTGAATAATCCAGGTGACTTTGATTGTTCACTGTTGCCTCTGAAACCAATCTCCCAAACCAAAACACCACCTTTGACGAGTAAATGATCAACACACAGCACCCTAGCTCTTTCAAAACAGTAATTCCTTCCCTTTCCTAGAAGTCAACGACCAAATCTCAAATTCCTGCCAAATACTCAACTGATACCTCATTACAAGTGAGTTATGAAAAAGCTTTTCAGCAAGGGACGTATATGTATGCCTTACATATATATCTATACACCACCACCACCACCCCCATACATGCACACAGATACATATATAATGAAGCAATTTTTAATTTTTGTTTTTAAAGAGTCACTTTTGAAAAAGATATTTGAAGATAATTTGTGGAATTCATGCTTAAATGGAATCCAAAAGAGCTCCATTACAGAGCCAATGAAAAATCAGTGACTGGGGGCTAGCAGAGACTTGAGACAGTTAATTCTATTTCACCACCTTTGCTTATTGCCCTCAGCAGAAATCAACTTCTCAGACTTGAAGAAGAAATTCCTTTTTCATTTAAATATGTTGGCCTAAATCTGATCTGCCAAAGTCAGCCCTCGGTTGCATTCCTGTCTTCGCATTTGATTAAAAGGGTAAGATTGAGGGAAAAAATAATAGCTTTTGTGGTATTTTCAAAAGAAGAGAAGATATTCAGATTTGTTGATGAACTGCATGCAGACAATACTATTTGTAATGTTAACAATGGTAGAAATTACTTTGCATGGGAAAAATACTTTCAGGACAGACACTTCACCTATTTCTGATCTAGGTCATTCTATGTATGTGAATTCATAAATAATATTTTCTACTGTCTGTCTTGCCAGAAATAAAAGGTACCAGCTATGAATATCTCAATACTACCCACCAACAGACAACATAATTACGTCTTTAAAGTAACTGACGAGTATCTTCAGGCCTCTCCAATAATCTGAAAGATTTTGCTAGACCTGCTATGACCTGCTATGTGGAAGATTCTCTCTGTCTAGGCTGATTAGCCAGCTTCCTTTTATTTGTAAAATCATGTAGGTACCTGGAGCTAGCATATGCTTTACCTTACAATTCAACACAATCCTTGCCTTAAAGAATTTTATCTGACAGTATTAAAGTAGGAATGGTGTCGCGATGCTTGTTAACATGACAGCCAAGAGCTGTTACTCTGCACAATTCAAATCTTATTCATGTGTTTTGTGGCCCTATCTCCTTTTCCTCATTTATTACAGACTAGTTAAAAATTTACACCTGAACACATGCTGCCCCACATGATACATACCATATCACAGCAGAAGTTAGCAAGCCAGTAAGTTTTGTAACCCAGGCCTGTGATGTGCTGCAAGCGTTTTGTGCCAGATACTCTGTCTTTCACTATTGCACTTCCAATGGATGCGGTAAGGATAGAGAAACCCAGCATGATACACAATGCTACCCCACACTGACGGACATTCTCCATTCTAGGGTACAAAGCAAAATGGCATAATGAAAACACAATGGGGAAAAAACATCACCAACCCCAAACATTTTCAAGGCCAACTTCTTACCAAAACAGCACTAGACATTAGAACCTTCATCCTGTTTGCAAACACCATGTTTGTACACTGTCAACATCTAATTAGAGAACAGGAGCAAGATGATGTATTAAGTTACAAAACTATACGTGAATTATAGAACACAGCGTGTGTTTAAAGTCTGAATAGTAAAATGAAGCTTTTGCAAATGTTTCCCCCCTCTAGAGAGGAGTAAAATTTAAAAACTTGACAATCATTTAAAGCAGTTTACCTGTTTCAAAACATCATGACCTGCTCACACTCTGCAAAGCCCAGTCAGAGTAAATTCAGTATTTTTCTCTACAAAATAAGGCAACCATATCTGATATCAGCAGTAGACTTCACATATAAACACCAGACTAGAGAAAATGCACCACTCAGTGGAACTGAATTGTGTCTGTCAAGTCATATAATCTATTTCATGCAACATACATGCTTATTAAATTAATAGGTTCAATTGTCTGCTCATTGCAGCTATTATATATTTCAAGAGTTTTCTCACATTTTGTCCTCATCCAGCAACGCTCCTCCATATGGTTGGCTGTAAAGTGTGATCCCTGTGAAATGAAAAATAAATTATGAAATAGTAACTGCTACATCAGAACTTCAAGTTCTAGAGTACACTATTGACGCCTTACTGCACAAGACAAACGAAAACACTAAATACTTAATAAGCAACAGAAAGAGGTCAAACAAAAAGATGCCAAACCAAATACTGTCTCCTGTTGAGTGATTTTCAGAGTCTGGATCCACCAACATCTAATGAATAAACATAAGTAATAGCTGCTTTTCTGTATTCTGAACTGCAGAAATTGGATCAACAATGTTGTATATTGCTGCAGGATCTACCTCACAGAAGAAATTAAATACAAAACCTAAAGCAGAATTTGTTCATATACCTAATCTTCGGGAGTAAGGTAGGTCATTATTGAAATTTAAATAATACTTGGTATTTTATTATCACTAAAAACATTTTTAAATTGCTGACGCTTTCCAGAGAAAAACTGTTTAGCTAAATTCGCAAAAAATAGGCCCACCTGAGATTGAAACTGTAGAGCTTTAAATTAAAAAGATAACCAGTTTGGGGGACCAAGAAAAATCCTTAGCAGGCAATGTGTTCTTAGGCTTATTTTGGTTGTTGGTACAACCAGCCTGTAACAATCTAGCAAACTGAACTTTGGCATTGGAATATAGCTTACAGAATAAAACTGTGGCTTTTTCCTGTCTTTCTTTTCAAGCAAAAGAAGAAAAATTGGGGGGTACAAAAATTTGCCAGTGCAAAAGTTGCTGTCCAAGTGGTCTTGATGCTGTTCCTGCCTTATTTCTGCATGTGTACCTGACAGGTGTGCCAGCTGTAATGTAATCCTACTGGAATTTCTCGCAGTGAGATCAAACCAGCACTATCTGATTGACGTATATAATATAAATCTATGCTGTTTCCATTAAAAAAAAAAAAAAACACCTATACTACCAGCAATTATAATCTTCCCAGTATCTTTGGTAAAGAAAGAAATTGTTGGTAGCCTTAGATGGACTCTGCAGGGTGCCACTTAGTTGAACAGACTTTGTCATATGTTGTTAGAGTCCAGCTGTACAAAGATAAAAATTGTCTTTGCTCCAGTAACAGGTGAAAGCTGTAATCTAAACATTTCTAAGTCGCTGTGGGGTAAAAAACTGAACAAGAGAAGGTGATGATTAACCCCCCCTCCCCCCCCCAAACTAGTACAAGGTAAAGACTTTTCAAATACAGTTAAAATCTATACACTGAAGCCCAACGGTAGTTAACAAATCAAAAGATTCACGCCGATAAAGTTTTGATTCATCACTAGCAGATACATGTGCTATTTGCAGAAGTCTTTCATGTCATTTGCCCGGAGGGACTGTTTAAAGTTTTCCTTTGTTTTTCTTTTACACCATTAATTTTTTAAACAATAGCTGCTATTTGTTCTGAAGCAAAAACCAGCACATCAAAGAAAACTGTTTTTTCCCACTAGAACCAAATACTAGCTGAAATTCCTTTTATGTAAAGGAAAAGTAGCATGAGAGAAAAAAGCTTCATTCCCAGAATTTTTTTCTAAGCTTTTCCAATGGTTGAATAAAGGTGTGCATATTAGAAGAAAGAATGTCTTTACTTCGTATACATATAGGATTCCTATTGAGTTAGAAATTAGTAACAAAAGATAGAATTAAACCAGATTTTTACTGTACAGACAAACTGAAACCAATCTGAATTTATTTTCAGATCTGGTTAGGAAAAAAGAAATATCTGATTTTCAGACTTAATCTAATTACAGTGGAGGAAAGCTTTTGGAAAATGGGAATCCTGATAATTTCAGAAGCACTAAAACAAAAAGTTAACAGCATGAAGCGTGCTTATTGTACTCACTAGTGCTCAGCTAAATTGGAAAAGAACAGAAATATGTCTTCCAGGCCTCCCAGTTTACGACCATGAGCCAAGTTCTGGTTATAGAGGATGTTTGCACGACTGTGAAGGTCTTGCTTTCATGATCAAAAATTTGAATGCTCCAACCAAGCTGTCCTCCCCCAAGCTTCAGATGACAGGAATCATACGGCAAAATTTCTCCAGCTTAATGGTCAGCATTTTGAGACATTGCAAATCTTAAAATACTGCCCACAATCAGGAAATACCAAGACTTGGAGACCTACAGGTCCTACTGATTCACATCCCTTTTCGCAGGATCGTGACATAGGTAAACCTGTCACGTGGACAGTGGTAGAGAATTATTGCCCATAAAGTGTCCAGAACTGGGGCAGTTTACCGGGAAATCAGAAAGGTTCTCCACTATACTCCATGAATTAGTCCAGGCTGATCTGAATCATATCTCATTGCTCTACTGCTATCAACTATTTGCTGTATTCAGTAAAACAGAGCTATGAATTCATGTTTGTGCAATTTCCTGCACAGATGAATTCATGCTCATAAACACACATTTGACCACTTGTACATTTTGAGAAGCTAGGCAACGAATTTTATAGATCATCTGCACTGCTGAAACTTTTCAAAAAGACCCCCAGGGAATTAATGATACATGCAAAACTTTACAAAGATAAAAAATGGCATCAAATATTTTTCAAGGAATAACTTCTGTTCAGGAATATTCAATGTGTCTGGAAATAATCTCTCTCCTGAAATCACTATGGCCTGTCTAAGTGCACAGATCCCAAGAGGAAACTAACAAAACCTTCAGATTACTGCATTGCTATTAAACAAAAGTCTAGAGCATTGACTTGGGTTCCATACACAGAAATACACTGCTATAACTCTCTAGTACAGAATAAACAGAAAGTGTGGAAAAGAGATAATTGCTGGGGGAAATAAAAACCCCACGATATTAAATAGCATAATGTTCCTTGCAGTCTTGTATCATACAATACTGATGAAAAAGCAAACTGCACTGAATTAATTTCTTTCAATGGAAGAGTCCTAAAAAGTAATTGCTCTTCTTAAAAGTGGTAATCATTTTCTACAGTCAATTTCCATTCAAACTATGTAGATGAAACAAAGGATTGCATTTTTCAAAATTTACACACAGAGCTGAGACTAAGTATGACCATGTTAAGCTAAGTTCAGTTCTATGTTAAAATTTAAAATTCTATCAATGACTTAAATATAATACTTGCCTTTCATTCATTATTTTAAATTTTTCAAATAATCTGGAGCATGAGGGTCTTTGCATTTGCTACATTTTTTAGTATAATGATTTCTTCCCTACCCCCATTGTCCAAACATAGATGATAAACTTATATAAAACCAACATACCAGCTTGTAATTCACAGAGGAACAAAAAGTTCCCTTGAACCTAAGGAGAGATAAATTATAAACTATCTTCCAATAGCAAAATAAGCCAACACATTTGATATACGCTATTTGCTAGTATATGTATTTTTTTAATTAAAAAACCCTTCCGTGTACTTTTACAACCTATCCCTTCCTAAATTTCTCCTAACCACCTAGACCATCTTTCTTTACATACATCTCTGCCCCAATAGAGCTGTTAGCATGATGTAAAATGTAATTATTGATGCTTTCTTGCCTTTATATGCCTTCTTACTATGTAAAACTGCTATAATGATGCTCATTAAGTTGAAAACTAAACACCATCTTTGAGGACATAAAATAAAAACTATAAATGACAGATAAACCAAGAAGTTCTAAATGACAAAGCTTCTATTAAACAGATGCATTTGGTGTTTATGCAAGGATTTTTTTTAAGGATTGCATTTACAAGCCTTGTGTGAACAGCCTTCAGGACAAATTTTACGAAAACAGTATTCACAAGGGAAAAACAAGACAGAGAATATCAACAGATTTGATATGATTCAGCTCTAACTCTGTCTGCTCCTTTTCATAAATGTCTCAATGTAAAATTGCTTCTTCCACGTCTACAGATTGCTATTATATTTTCCTGACTTCGATGGGGCTTCAAGCAGTGGAAGGTCTTCCTGCCCATGGCAGGAGATTTGGGACTAAATGATCTTTAAGGTCCCTTCCAACCTAAACCATTCTATGATTTTATGACTTAATTGCAACCAGAATTTTCCCAATTGTCCTAAAACATCCGTTTATGTCCTTGGCACAGAGTTGGTCACATTATTTTTACAGTGATGATTTAGGCTTCTTTATGGGCACAGGTGAAAACCTGTGATAGCCACCAATTCCAATCTTTCCAAAGCCATAAGCAATTCAAGAAGAGAAAAAACTGTGACTACGGAGATCCTTATACTATATCAAGGTTTTAATGCCATATTCAGAGAGTAAGTGAACACCATGATGCCGAGACTTTCTTAGACCCTCTAACCTTCCCCAATAAAAAAATGAAGACCATGAGAAATGAGAGGCACTATTTCCCCAGAGTGGGGTGAAAACATAAGAAGAAACATAAGAAACATAAGAAAGAAACATAACTGTATACATGTTAATTGAGATATATATATGTGCATGTATAGTTCTGAAAAGGAACGAAACCAGATGTCAATCCCAGCAAAGCACAAGCAATAAGTTATTTTGGTAATATCTCTTCATAGCTGGTTTTCAGCTAAGAAACAACTTTTTTTTTTCCTCTCAGTTGTTTTGCCTACAGTTAACTAAATTTTTTGTGTGTTCTTTTTTTCTTTCTTTTTCTTTTTTTCTTTTCTTTTTTTTTTTTAAAGTAAAAGGCTCAGTTGCTATCTCTTGTATTGCTCAGTGAAAAACTTATCTTTACACAACTGAGAAACAATGACATTTTTACCAGTCCTGCAAGCTACATTAGTAAAGAAAAAAGAGGACGGCAGTAGTCAGAGCTTCACAGTTTAACTATAAATTGCATGAATAACCCAGCTGGGGGTCGGGCAGGGACAGAGAGAGGGAGTATTTACATTGGAAATGCCACTAGGAGCTCCATGTTACATGCTTAATAATAGAAGAGGCAGTAAAGAATTAATTGTACCCTCTTCAGCTTCTCCATTATTTCCCTTTAGTATTATCCTTTCCAGGCTGAACAATCCTATTCTTTCCCTTATATTGTTCTTCATTCAACTATTTTTAGACTCTAATATGTTAAAAAGGCATCCCTAACCTGATGAAATAAATTCTTTAAAAAGTGTTATAAGCATTATGACATTCTCTAGAATAAAATACCATTCTTTTCCATTCTGGATAGGACACTTCACAGGTAAAAGGAAAATGCATCCATATTACAGACGTTTGAAATCTTGGTTGTAGTAGGAAAAATCCTGCACTGGTGCCATTCAAGAGCTGCACAACTCAAGACACCTCTCTCCATACCAACACCTTATTAACAGTCTGCAAACTGTCCCTTCAAGAGAAGGTGCTCTATATCTTCTATTTCAAAGTTAAACCACCTGACCATCTGTCAGAACAGAAAGCAACATGCAATTTGGCATAGTTTTATACACTTGGAATGTTTCCTCTCTGTAGGTTATAAAGAACAAGAGGCACTGGTTGCCCAGTCCATCCTGCCTGGGTGCAAATTTCCACATAATCACACATTACAAAATGTGTGGGTTTGCAGTAAAAATTAGGACAGTGATACGAACCAAGCAGTATTTTTTCAGTGTAGGGTGGAAAGATCTAGAGGAAAAAATCTCAAGGGTCTTCAAGCTGGTATACCATCACCATAGGCAAATCAGAGCTGTCCTTAGGTATATTCTGTGCTTCTGCGCTGTATTTTGGGTGTGTCTGAGGCTGTCTCTTGGCACTCCTTTGTAAAGTATCTCTTCTTTCTGTCACATAACATGCTGAGTCTTGAGTACATAGATCAGTTTGGATCTGTGCTACTAATGCCAAATATCATAATCATTACAGACTTGATTAGAAGACCAATATAGGCTCCTTTATTCCAGACATTTTATTCCAGTTTAGAAGAAAATAGATTAGAATAAAATAAAATAGAATGTATAACAAAAATATATATGTGTGCTTTTTACAAGCCCTCCTTTGTGGGCATTTAAAATTTATGGCAAGATTTCTCTATAAAATGAGACATTGATATTTACTGAAAATTCCAACTTATATTTTATGGAGAATTTCACAGGAAGCACCCTCATTAATGATTTATATTTTACTTTTCCCCCGCTAACCAGATATGGTTAAGAAGGTTCCTACTAAGTGCCATTTCACAGGTTCCTTTGAAAAGAAGTTTAAAGTTAAAATTTGCAAAGCAATCAGGAAACTATGCAGTCACTTTCCACCAAAACTCCACTGAAAATGGGTCTCTTCATCCCTTTAGCTCTTTTGATGAACTGAATCTGAAATAAATGAGAACGCTATATGAACTCCTACAATGAGCCCTGGCATGAAAGGTTTTTTAAAAAAATCAGTGACTTCTATTGAAGTCCTGAGATGGGGCAGCTGCATCACAGAAAGCCTTTCTATATTCATACATTTCTGTTCTTCAAATAATGATGTAAGAACTTTTTTGACCACTGTACTTTACAGACATCGTTATAGATGACTACCTCTCCTTTTTTCTTTATATAGCCTTACACTAAGAGGTAGGTAATAGTCCTTCCCCTACATTCCAGCACAATAAACACATTGTGACTCAACTGTATACAATTAGGTTTGAAAAATAATATAGTTGTAGTTGATCAGAATTTCTATCTTAATTTTAAGAAAAAAATGTTGCCTTTTAGTTTTTTATTCCTCTTCATTATTCCATTTTTGATTTGCTCACAGTTACATTATCTAATTGTTGAAATTCAGCATTTCAGAAGGAGATTTTAAAATACACAAACATCATTCAAGTAAGCTTGAAGAGCAGCCAGAAATTAAGAGAAATTAATAGATTTCAGTGTTGAAACACGGTATGTAGTCTTCTGACTGCTAATTTACAGGACTGCATACAACCATTTTAGTAAGCATGTAAATAGTTCTTCTCCATCAGAGCAGTATCCTTAAATAAGACATAGTTAAAAGTCAAAGGGAGCTGAGCTTAAGTGCCCCATATAGCATTGGAAAACTGTCTAGTTTTTTTAAAAACATAAAATATACACCTGTATTTGTCTCTATGCATATATACATGCATATACATATATGTGTACACACATGCATACATACAGACAGACCAATAGATAAATAGATAACTTGACTTCTCTTTCTAGGATTTCTCTGACAGGTGCCTCTGCATTATGTCTCAAGACCATGATCAATCCATCTTTACTGCATGTCTCTGATAGATATATACATAAATAAATTGCTTTCTAGTTCATAAACTCTACTTCTGCAGAGATTTAGCCAACATATTCTGCCAGAATATTATATAATGAGCCCATATGTGTACAAATGACAGTCTAAGTCTTCAAATATTTATTAAGCACTGCTTTGCTTATTGTGTTTTTGTGCCATCCAACAACATAAAATATAACTTTTCCACAATCCTTGGGACAACTATAATTTTGTCCAACTGTAACCTGGATGGTATGTCCCCAATTTTCCATGACAGATAGAAAAGTAAGAGTACTTAAACATTTAAGTTCCAGAATGGGATAACTAATGCTACAGAAAACAAGCTAGCATCAGTACTATTCATGAAGTTCAGGAAAATTTGATTAAAAATTTATTTCTATTAAAAATTCTCATCAAAATACCTGATTTCATTTCATTCAAATTTTCTGCGGAAATACATAACCTTTGATTCATTCTCATTTATTTTGAAAAGCAAAACCTCAGACATCCTGAAAACAAGCAATTATTCTTTTCTCATTAACAGTCTGGAAACTTTTCTAAATTAATTTCTGTTTTCAGATATTCAGGATTCCTCCCCTGTTTTCACTGATTTTTGTCATCTTTCTTCCTTCTTCTTCATAAACACACTGAAAATTATTTTACCATTACAGACAACCATCCTACCTTTTCAAAATCTGTTAAAAATCGGTCATAGGCTATTTTTAAATTTCTCTAAAGCAAACTAATTCCTCTTTAACAAAACCTTAAGAATGAAAGGAACTGGAATGAAGAGAAGTAAGCCTGAACTATCAAGCCCAGATGTTAAACTAGATTTCAACATCCTAAAAGTTCACCTGTGTTACCATCTGATTCTTTGGCTGCAGTAATTTTTTTTAAAAGTCAGTTTGAAAAAAAAAAAAAATTTAACTAGTTCTTATACAGTTCAGGACTATCTGAATCAGAGAATTCAGGTGTCAAATATACTGATCACTCTTGTTTTATTTACAATAGTAAGATATACCAGCCTCTCCTGTTGCTTGAGTAACAGAATGCTATGGAACATCCCATTGCAGTGTGAATTTACAGGACACCCTGGGTTTACCACAGATATTTACATAAGGAGATAAAGTGACAGAGAAGCTATAAATTCATACTCTGTTGTGCTTTAATCATCCCATTTAAGCAAGCCCTAACAGTGGTTTCACAAGGACTAACATCTCAAGTGTAGCAAAGCAATTTACACTTATTCCACAGCACTGTCCTTCGTAAAAAACTCATATGACATAATGGGCTGTAAATTCAAACTTTCTGTTATTGTGTACTATGTTCTTCACATAAAAAACCCTTCTGTTTAACTAAAAGTTCCATTTTCAAATCCTCCCAAGAAATGTGTGATTCTGCAATTCTACTTTACACTATGAAAATTTTTCATACTTAAAATTATTTTAGTTTATTTAAAAACTACTTTTCAAAAGATATGAAAAAAGACTTAAAGAAGGACTATTACCATACTGTTTCCAATCCACATTAGGAGGCAAATTCAACCACAGAATGAAGTTATTGAGTTCATTTAAGTAGGATGGCAGTGAATGAAAACCTTTTTGGTTGTACCACACCTGGAAGAGAGAATGGAAATTGTGAATTAAAAATTAGTTGAATCTGAACATTGATATAAAACCTCCAATATGTTGAAGAATTGCATAAAGATATCTAATTCTCATATGACACCTATTTATAGAAGGTGAACTTGGCAGAACAGAATCAGTTATTTTATACAGGTCTTTCAACAGAGTACAGCAGTTAGTTTGTTTTCTACTGTTGGAGCTGTACACCCATGTTAATTACTAAATTGAGATTCTCTGATTTAATGGAACAGTGTGTCACTTTACACACATTTGGTGGAACAAATAGGGGAAAAAACATGTAAAAATAACATTTGCCAATTTGATTGAAAATACAAAAAAAAAAAAAAAAGAGTAAAACTAGTGTTACAAGTGGAGAACATTATTGAAATTCCAAAAAGACATCTCAATAATACCTACAAGTGACACACAGCATAAAATGTCTAGGAACAGAATATCCTAGAAAGTGGGGAAAGAAAGAATCAAGGAGGCACTGTTTATAAGGTGAGTATGAAACTATTCCATAAAGGACAAAACTGTGTCTCCACCTTCAACAAGCAATTATCAGCCTTTTGTTAAGCATGGATGAAATTAATGTGGACAAACTTTAAGGCAGACAAGGCAAGCCAGTCTCTCCGAGGAGCACAGGGGAGCAATTCTGCTGTAACATATACTTTATCCTCAGATCATGCAGAATCACCCCGGTTTGGTAAATATACTCAAAATTTACACTTTCATGTGCTAGAATTATTGCTGAGAGTCCAGTATGTCCCAAAACTGAATATTCTGAGGTTTGAGTTTGCTTAGTCATTGGAAATCGATTCAATTTCTATGCTTCATTACTGTTAATCATAGAGCCTTTGAACCTACATTATCCATACTGAAAACTAGGTCAAATCATTATGTATGTTTGTTTTCAGTTCTAGTGACATGTTTAAAATCATCTTTGATTACTATCCATTCCTCACACCACAGCAACCTTTTATTCCCCTTTTTGTTTATACAGTTGAAAAACTCTTAACCTTTCCCTATTTGGTATCAGCTGTTTGCTAATCTGCATTTTGTACATCTCAGGTTGATGTTGGGCAATTCTCACTTTGTGTTTGGATTCTGAATCATACTGCAAAGTGCACAGTTTTTAATCTAGGTCTTTCTTGCCTTAGCACCCTTCTTCTAGGATTTCTGTTTTTTTATGTCCTTTCTCAAATTACCATCTACACAGTTACATCTTGGAAACTTCCCTAAGGATTCTTTTCTCGTCACTCTGATGCTGTTGTCCTCTACTGCTCTTCCACATATATGTGCCTCCTCTTGATACTGGTGAAAACTTTCAGATTATTTTTTTTCATTTACTTAACAATAATTCTGTTTTCTCTTTCTTGTAGTATCCAGCTACAATCCTTAGCTGGGCACTAGTTCCAGACTTTGTCAGTTTTTCCTGCCATGGTCTTCTCTATGTTTCCCAGTGCAAATTGTCTAATTTTCAGTTCTATTTCCCTCTTTTAATTATTATTTTCTTCTGATTTATTTTCCTGACTACCTGTTTGGATCTCCAGATTGTACTCTGTCATGAGGCAAGGGTTACAACACACTAACTGTCCATTCAATTTCCTCCCATCTATCCTATATCATGCTTCGAAACACCATTCTGAACTCCACTGTCATTTCTACTATGCCTCTCACTCTTGAATCTCCTTTGCCATAAGCTCTGTTAGTCATTATTTTAAAAACAAGCAGCTTTGGTCTACCACTGCTCTTGCTTGCATTAGCTTTCACGTTTTCCACTCTTCATGTGGTCTTCACAACTGAAATCTCAACAGCATCTTATATCCCCACATTTAAAG